ATAAGACTTCATATTGTGATGTTGATATGAAAAGAGAATTCTACACGTATATAATTTGTGAATATTAATTATAAATTTTGACTTAAAAAGCTTTTTATAATGATTCAAAATACTTGATTTATGGTGCTCATTGTTTTTTATTTTTAGTTTTTAGATGATCAATGCGTAAAAATGATCATCATTTTAGGTATTGGAAAAATAAATTTATCTTTTAATATATAATACATTTACCCACAGGGAAAACATTCCTGATTCTAATTAGGTACAATCCAAAAAAAAAAACACAACGAATAATGGGACAGTACCAAGAAAAATAAAAAGTATTTGATCTAAATAGGACTAAAATATAAGAATAATGCAAGATTAGGACCTTGTGTTTTTTATTCCCAAAATAGGAGCACCTTTTATTTTATCCCAATCTTACCCTCCTGATATTTTAATCTTCCGTATCATGCATATCCACTCCCAGCCACTTCTTTTCTCCTCTCTCCTCATTCTTATCTCTTCTCCTGCTTGCATCTCCATCACATACGGATATCTCTTTGCATCTCTGACCGGGCTGAACTTGCAAGTGTACAAGTGCCGATATAGTAATAAATTCCGGTAAAATACCGGGTCGAATCCGCAGGGAAACGTTGTTTAATTTAGTCCGAGAGTAGATGACTTTAAATAAATAAATGAGTAAAGTGCAGGGATTTTGAGTTGTGTGTTGTTGTGAAAACAACAACTTGGTTCTTCTTTTTAATTTTCAGAGATATAACTTAAATTAATTTGATTAAAGTGATTGATAACAACAACTAAGGCTTCGGGAATCACTTAAATGCTTTAATAGGGTTGAATATTAGTTCTTTACCAACAATTATGAATACGATGTCGCTAATATATTCTCAACTCCGGTTAAGGCAGCGAGAGCGTGGTTTTCGTTACGTGTAAGTCCCGTTACGGCTTACATTCATCTACCGAAAACCCCGTTGAATATCAAGACATCACACCCGTATCATATAATACCGGATATATTTCTATTCTCGGTAATATATATGTTTATCCTTTAATGTTCATAGTTTAGACCTCAACGTTAATTGCAAGCATAAACTAAGTTTAACATACTTCTATGTTGTACACCATAGTCATAAACAATCAAAATGTAAAGGATAAATCACAATTTATTGGTTTAGAACTTTTATCAAACACCTAGTGGGCATAGAAGTTCATCCCTAGCCTTAGCTAAGAACTTAGCCTCTTATGCTCATATTAATTACAAAAGTGTAACTAAGATAAAGGAAATACAATAACATACAAGAAATAATACCTAGAACCAATTGTAGAGGAGAGAAATGGCTTCTTCTCCAACACTTCAAGAAAATGTAAAAAGGAAATATAAAAACTGAATTTTTAGCTCCAAAGATGGAATGATGATGAGGTTTGATGAATTGGGGGCTTTATATAGGCTAAAGATTGACATCTTTTAGTCTATTCGAGCCCAACAATCAAGCATGGAAGATATATTTGATTAGCTCATGAGGAAGGTGAGTTTTTTCCATCAATATATCTCAGCACGATCTTTTGTATTTGCAGGATCAGGCCTACCCGGCGCCGGCCTTCAGGCCTACCCGGCGCCGGGTAAGCTACTGGATTGGTTGGTGCGAAAATCCGACGGGCCGGCGCCGGGTATAGGGTGGGCCGGCGCCGGGTATCTCCTCTTGTTGTACTTTCTCCACTTTTCGCTCCATTTGACGCCCGTTGTTGACCCCGATGTGCCGGTTCTTGGTCCCTTTTTCCCCATTGACTCTCGTTTCTTCATTTTTGACGTCCAAGTGCGATTTCGCTCAAATTGGGATTTTTATCTGTTTTATCTTTGAAAATTTGTACAGATAATCATAATTACCTATATAAAATATAGATAATTGTTGTGCTTATCAAATTCCCCCACACTTGAGCGTTGCTAGTCCTCGAGCAATGTCGTCACTTTGTATGTTTTGGGTTAGTTTCAACAAAGACATATACAAAAATAAATAAATTTTTTTTAAGAGAGGTAAAAGTGGCATATAAACTCTTTTCTCATTCTCGGTCCAAAAACCATTTTTTTTTTAATTAAATACAAAAAGTATCATTTAGATTTAGAAAACTGCTAATACTCTTGAGAATAAAGGAGTGATTTGTGACTGTGACTCTTTTGGGCGAGTGGGATGGCTTTTTGGTGTGTTTTTGACTTTCAATTGTATGAATCAATTGAGCTACTAAATTGAGACCATGAGTTGTTTACTTTTTTTTTTTTTTTTTTTTTTACTCATTTGAAAAAGGTCTTCAACTAGTATTTACTGAAAGTCATTTGATGATGCCAATTTATTTGATGAGGTGTGAGAATGGGTTTTGTGTTCCAAAATGGTGCTTGAATGTAATATTGACCATTTTTTGGAAATGAAGGAAGGAGATGCTTTCTAGTCACAAGAATTTTTTTTTTTTTTTTTTTTTTTTTTTGGAGTAATTTTCAAGAGTAAAGAGTAGTCTAAAGAAAATGATAACTTTTGTAAATAAAAAAAACTTTCTCAACCAAATACCCTTTAAAAAGAGAATTATGACAATTTTTACCTTCCTAAAAAAAACATTATTTTTGCACACAAAATTTGTTTTGAACTACCCATGAGATGCACCCCCCACACTTGTAATACATTGTCTCAATGTATCATGCATGATAAACAAGTACTTTCATAACATCCACAATAAAGGTGTGTTTAGAGGAAAGTAATGTCATGAGAAAAATGAAATAGGAGCAAGGGGGAGTCACTGGTGTGGATCGGGAGGGGGGTACCCATGTTGGGAGTAGTAGTAGTTGGTGAATGTGTCGAAACGCTCCTCAAACCTTTGGTGGCGTGCTTCTTGCTCGTCCATCCGCGTGTGCATTCGAGCCATGGAATGCATCAAGTATGCCATCGCGGGATCGGTGGTGTGTGGCGGCTGTGGTGGTTCGGGTGCGGCTTCATCATCATGAGCGTCTTCCATGGCCTCCTCGTTTACTTCATCATCATCTCTGTGCAAACCTATGCCGTCGGCAAAATACCATTTTCCAGAGTTGGACAGTTTATGCTTGAGGGCAATCATTGTTTCTTTGTCCAAGACATTAGATTCATTGGTACAAGCAACTTCCTCTCCATCAAAGTCAACCTGAAAGTGCCTGAAAATCTTGGTGAGTAAAAGCGGGTGACAAAAGTTTTTTGAACCTTGTTTGGAGATCACCACATTTTTCATATTTTTTAGGAGGAGTCGTGGTAGTGGTATCCCTTCTATGTCTCCTAGGCCAACTAGCATCTTTTGAAGAAGGTATAGATCAATCCTCCTAACCAAGTGGCGGTCACTAGCATGTGGGACAATGTTGAAGCCAATAAGATAGACGAGTAGGCGAGCGTGAATGTGCCATAGATACTTGGTCTGTAGGTTTGTCTTGAGCCCGAAGAACCGCCGTGCATCCGCCTCATTGTAGGAATTGTCACTTAGAATGCCGGTTTGATTGTATTCCAAGGTAGGGCCCGTGTTGCTAACTTCAAGGATGTTGGAGAGGAGGTCCGGGTCAACTTTGATGCGTCTCCCTTTCACCGTTGTTTGGATTTCCGCGTATCCGGTCTCTTTGTCCGAGACATTAGCGTAAAACTCCCGGACCAACCGGGGGTAATATGCTCCTGTCAATGTAAGCATCATTGCCCATCCAAAACGGGCGAAGATCTCAGTGAGCTTGAAAACAGCGTCGATGTCCGGGTGCACTGTTTTCTCTTCCACAATTTTCCACTTTTTCCGCTCCTCGTACCACTTTTCATTTTCAACCGAAGTGAAACGGTTGCCGGTGAAAGAGGAGGATGAAGCACCAGTATTTTGTTTGCGTTTAGGAGCCATCCTGCAAGGTTAGAAGAGAAAATAGACAAACAACACCATAAACCTCATCAATTCAAGGTATATTTTCCTACATTTTCATGAGTTTCCCAAAAATTCAAGTTGAATCTCAAATTATGCAATCAAGATGTTTGGAATGTTTATATATCAATACAAAGTATTTCAATATCATTCAAGTCATCAATGATAGGAATAATTTGAAATTGAGCAAGAAATTCGGACCTAGGGTTCAAAAATTAAAATTTTGCAAGAATTTCCCCCAATTCTCAACTTTAATCTCAAACTTTGGCAACAATCATGTTTACATTCATCATATGAGCACAAGTAATCAACTTTGAACAATCATAAACATATAATTTGGCCAAAGATCGAAAAAAAAATAGAAGAAATTCGAAAATTTGAAAATTTGGGGGTTTTGCCTTTTTACCTTGAATTGATGGAGAAGAAGCTTGGAGATGGTGTTGTGGAGCCTTGGGAGGGATGGATTTAGACTCCTTTGACTTAGAACTCAAAGCTATGTGAGGTTTTGGGGGTTGGGTGTCGTCGGTTGCGAAGCTCGAACGAGGGGGAGTTGGGTTTTGTTTTCGCGTAAGGCAAAAAAAATAAGCTGGGTGTAGCTTTAAACGACAGACCCGGCGCCGGCCATCAGGCCTACCCGGCGCCGGGTAAGCTACTGCCTCGCCCCCTGCTTTGTTTTTAAGAGTACCCGGCGCCGGCCATCATGCCTACCCGGCGCCGGGTAAGCTACTGCCTCGCCCCCTGCTTTGTTTTTAAGAGTACCCGGCGCCGGCCATCATGCCTACCCGGCGCCGGGTAAGCTACTGCCTCGCCCCCTGGAGTGATTTAAGAGAGCCCGGCGCCGGCTGGTCAGTGGACCGGCGCCGGTTCGCACATTTTCTTTTCTCTTTTTTTTTTTTTTTTTTTTTTTGTTCTCAATTATAAATAAATATGAATGTGTTTTTGTAAATGAACATATTTATTTATAATTGAGTTTTGTTCAATTATAAGTAAAGTATGAATATTTTGTAAAACTAATCATATTTATTTATAATTGATATTATTTTTGTTGGGTTGCCTCCCAATTAGCGCTCAGTTTAACGTCGTAGGCTGGACGCAACGTACCTTTTTACTCCTCCAATGGGCAAGCGGTGGTTGCCGAGGTGATATGATACTCCATGTATGGCTTGAGTCGGTGACCATTTACAAGAAATGGTGTTTGGTCACCTTTTTGAATCATCATTGACCCGTATGGTCGGACCTCGGTGATTGTGAACGGTCCCGACCATCGGGATTTTAGCTTTCCGGGAAAAAGGCGAAGTCTAGAGTTGAAGAGTAGTACCTTTTGGCCGACGTAGAAGTCCCTCCGGTTGATGTTTTTATCATGCCAAGCTTTTGCTCTTTCCTTGTAGATGCGGGAATTCTCATATGCATCCCTTCGGAGTTCTTCAAGTTCTGCCATTTGGAACATCCTCCTTGTCTTTGAGAGTGGAGAATCAATGTTTAGCTTGGAGAGTGCCCACTGTGCTTTGTGCTCAAGTTCTACGGGAATGTGACATGATTTTCCATAGACAAGCCGGTATGGTGACATACCCAACGGTGTTTTGTAAGCCGTCCGATATGCCCATAGCGCATCATCTAACTTTATCGCCCAATCTTTTCTAGAGGTGGCGACTGTTTTTTCTAGAATTGATTTAATCTCTCGGTTGGACACTTCAACTTGCCCATTAGTTTGTGGATGATAGGCTGCTCCGGTTCGGAAATTGCACCCATATTTCTTTAGCAAGCCAGAAAAATGGGCATTCTTGAAATGTGTGCCATTGTCACTTATGATGGTACGGGGCACACCAAACCGTGAGAAAATGTTTTTCTTCACGAACTCCCCCACACTTTTGCTAGTGTTGTCGGGTAGAGCTATTGCCTCCACCCACTTGGAGACGTAGTCCACGGCTACAAGGATATAGCTCTTCCCATATGAGTTAGGGAAAGGTCCCATGAAATCCAATCCCCACACATCAAAGAGTTCAACCACAAGGATCATATTTTGAGGCATTTCATTCCTCCGGCTAAGATTTCCGGTTCTTTGACATCGGTCACACGCTTTCACATAACTCCTTGCATCTTTGAATAATGTTGGCCAGAAAAGACCACATTGGAGGACTTTCGCTGCCGTCCGATCCGGACCATGGTGACCACCACAAGGAAGGTTGTGACAATGGTTTAAGACGGACATGATTTCCTCATCGGGTACGCATCTTCTAACAATTCCGTCGGCACAATGTTTGAAGAGATATGGTTCATCCCAATAGTAATGCTTTACATCACTTAGGAATTTTTTTCTTTGATGGAAAGTGAGTGATGGAGGTATAATTTCTTTTGCAAGAAAATTAACAAAATCAGTGAACCATGGTAGTTGTACCTCTTTGATTGCCATGATTTGCTCATATGGGAAATCATCTCTTATCTCCTCTTCCTTGGGGTTGGGGGTGCCTTCGAGTCGTGAAAGATGATCCGCCACAAGGTTTTCACTCCCCTTCTTGTCTCGGATTTCAAGGTCAAATTCTTGGAGTAATAAAACCCAACGAATTAACCTTGGTTTGGCATCCTTCTTGTTCATGAGGTATTTGATGGTGGAGTGATCGGTATAAACAATCACTTTTTGGCCAATGAGGTAAGATCGGAATTTGTCAAAAGCATAAATGACGGCTAGAAATTCCTTCTCGGTGGTGGCATAATTGAGCTCCGCATCATGAAGTAACCTCGATGCATAGTATATGGCATGAAGTTTCTTTTCTTTTCTTTGCCCAAGTACCACACCGATAGCATGATCACTAGCATCACACATCAATTCGAATGGAAGAGACCAATCCGGTGATGTAATGATAGGGGCCGAGGTAAGCGCTTCCTTTAAAGTGTTGAAAGCTTTGAGCCGAGTTGGAGTGATTTCAAAAGGGGCATCCTTGGCTAATAAATCGCATAGAGGTTTAGCGATTTTTGAGAAATCTTTAATGAATCGCCGATAGAAACCGGCATGCCCTAGAAAGCTTCGGATAGCTTTCACCGAATGTGGAGGGGGTAGCTTCTTTATGACTTCAATTTTTGCTTGGTCGACTTCAATGCCTTTGGGAGAAATTTTGTGCCCCAAGACAATCCCCTCGGTTACCATGAAATGGCATTTCTCCCAATTGAGAGCCAAGTCGGTTTCCTCACACCGAGTCAGCACTTTCTCAAGGGAAAGTAAGCACGAGTCAAAAGAATTCCCAAAAACAGAAAAGTCATCCATAAATACCTCCATGAGGTCTCCCACCATGTCCGCAAAAATTGCCATCACACATCTTTGGAATGTCCCGGGGGCATTGCATAACCCGAATGGCATCCTTCTATAGGCAAATGTGCCAAAAGGACATGTGAATGTTGTCTTTTCTTGGTCCTCGGGTGAGATAGCTATTTGAAAATAGCCGGAGAACCCATCCAAGAAACAAAAGAACTCATTTCCCGCAACACGCTCTAGCATCTCATCCATGAATGGAAGGGGAAAGTGGTCCTTCCTTGTGCCGGAGTTCAATTTCCGGTAGTCTATGCACATCCTCCAACCGGTGACCATTCTAGTAGGAATTAATTCATTCTTACTATTGGCTACCACCGTGATTCCACCCTTTTTTGGAACGACTTGAACGGGGCTTACAAATTTACTATCCGAAATGGGGTAAATTATGCCATAGTCAAGGAGTTTGAGAACTTCCTCCTTAACTACCTCTTTCATGTTGGGGTTTAGCCTCCTTTGATGCTCCACCGTGGGTTTGTGATTCTCCTCCATAAAAATCCGGTGCATACAAAGAGAAGGGCTAATACCCTTAATATCCGCCAAGGACCATGCAATAGATGTTTTGTGATCCTTCAATACCCGTAGTAATTTTTCTTCTTGAAGAGATGTGAGTGAAGAAGAAATTACTACCGGGAAAGTTGAGTTGTCTCCAAGAAATGCATATTTGAGGTGCTCCGGTAAAGTTTTCAAAGATGGTTTTGGTGGGACCTCAAGAGATGGTTTTAATGTGGACTTACTTGTTCCAAGATCTTCAAACTTTTGTCGGAATTGTTTGAAAGGAGCTCCGGCTTGTAAGTACATAACTTCCTCAAGAAGTTCATGACTTTCTTCTTTTTCATTGCATCCTAGCATGATGCAAGTCTCCAAGGGGTCTTCATGAATGATTTTCCCAAAACACTCTCTAGCCAAAGTGTCAAGAATGTCAATGTTAAAACAAGAGGGATCATCATGGTGCTTCTTCAAAGAATCCCAAACATGGAACTCTTGCTCTTCATCTCCAACACGGAATTTGACAATTCCGTTCTTGACATCAATAAGGGCAGCTGCAGTGGCTAAAAATGCCCTTCCAAGAATGATAGGGATCTCCATTTCCTCCATCTCCAAAATAAGAAAATCCACAGGAAAGTAGAATTTTCCAACTTTAACAAGCACATCCTCCATAACTCCAATAGGGTAGCGAATTGACCTATCCGCAAGTTGTAAGGCTATGGTGGTTGATTGAAGTCCCCCCACACCAAGCTTTTTAAATAAAGAATGGGGCATGAGGTTGATACTAGCACCAAGATCACAAAGGGATCTTACCTCTCCAATCTTGCCAATAGAACATGGCACCGTGAAGCTTCCAGGGTCCTTCAATTTAGGAGGGAGTTTGTTTTGTAGGATGGCACTACACTCCTCCGTAAGGGAAATGGTAGCAAATTCTGCTAATTTCTTTTTATTTGAGAGTATGCCCTTCAAGAATTTGGCATAAGATGGAATCTCCGCTATTGCTTCGGCAAATGGAATGTTGATGCTCAATTTAGTAAAAATATCAAGGAATTTTCTATATTGAGCACCATCATTCTTTTTCTTCAATCTTTGAGGATATGGAATGGGAGGAACATAGTTAGCCATATTGGACGGTGGCATCATATGTTCCTCATCTCCATCTTCGTTTTGCTTTTTCGGGGTCTCCTCCTCTTCCGGCATCTTCGGGTCCTCCGTCGTCTTACCACTCCTTGTGGTAATGGCCATCACGTTCTCCCTTGGGTTCATCTCCGTGGTTGTAGGAAATTTGCCTTGCTCCCTAGAACTTACTTTTTGAGCAAGTTGTCCCATTTGTACTTCAAGATTCCGAATGGATGCCTTGTTGTATTGCTCAATGGTGTCGATGCGTTGGTTGAGCTTCATATTTTGATCTTCAAATTGAAGATCCAACTTGGTGAATTGAGAGTGGAGATTCCCAATGGATGCCTCCACTCTATGATGATTTTCCTCATTTTGGGCCTTCATACTTGCCATGCTTTTGGACATGAATTGCATCATATCCTCCATGGTAGTCTCCTTGGGTTGCCCAAAATTAGGTGTTCCGGATTGGGGTTGTGAGGAACTAGTTTGTGGCTTCCACCTTTGTTGATTTGAATAGTTATTGTTCCCCCGATTCCCATAGGAGTTCATATAATTTACCTCTTCAAGTTGTTGAGATAAATCACCTTCCGGGTTCGGTATGCTCTCCACGTTGGCTATTTGTTTGACTCCTCCCAATACGGCTTGTAGAGCCGTTTGGAACTTTTGCTCAATCTTTGATTCCATTTCTTCAAGCCTTTTGTTTATCTCCGTCGTGATAGAGATTTCATTAATCCCTACCACTTTGTAATCACCTCCTTGGAGTTGAGGATTCGAAGCAATGGATTCAATGATTCGGAGTGCTTCGGTTTCATTCTTGTTCCCAATATAGCCCTCGGCTCGGTTGTCCACAATGGCTTGACAAGATGCGTTCAACCCATTGTAGAATGTGTCAATTTGAAGGTCTAGGGGAATGCGGTGATGTGGGCATTCCCTTAGCAATGATTTGAAACGCCGCCATGCATCTTGAAAGAGCTCACCATTTTGTTGTTTGAAGTTGAAAATGCGTTGTCTAAGCTCTTGAGTCATGGTGGGCGTGTAGTATTTAGACATGAAGGCATTGTATATACCTTCCCATGTAGTGTAGCTTGCCGGAGCTTGTTCTAGGAACCATCCTCTTGCTGCCCCTTTGAGAGTATAGGGGAAACATTTGAGCTTGAGATCATCTTCGGCTAGCTTGTTCCTTGGAATCCCTTGGATGAACCCATAGAACTCTGTGATAAAGTTCAATGGATTCTCCCCCAATTGACCATGAAACTGAGGCATAGCATTGAAGTAGCTTTGCTTTAGTTCATAGTCCCTCGCATCTTCGCTTAGCACAATGCAAGAGGGGGAGGTCGCTACAACGGGCCTCTTCCGTTCGTTGAGTGTGGGCATCATCTTTGTGGCTTTTTGCTCCTTTCGAATGTGTTTGCAGGTTTTTTCTATTTCAAGATCAAGTGGTTCAAGAAATTTAGAACCTCGACTTCTCAAATGCATGCAAACACAAAGGAATATCTACACACACACAAAAATAAACCCTTCCAAGATCAAGTGAAGTTGCGAAAAATAAATAAATAAATTCAGGATTTTTGATTGTTTGGACTTTATTAAACAAGACCGTTTCCCCGGCAACGGCGCCAAAAACTTGACCGGGCTGAACTTGCAAGTGTACAAGTGCCGATATAGTAATAAATTCCGGTAAAATACCGGGTCGAATCCGCAGGGAAACGTTGTTTAATTTAGTCCGAGAGTAGATGACTTTAAATAAATAAATGAGTAAAGTGCAGGGATTTTGAGTTGTGTGTTGTTGTGAAAACAACAACTTGGTTCTTCTTTTTAATTTTCAGAGATATAACTTAAATTAATTTGATTAAAGTGATTGATAACAACAACTAAGGCTTCGGGAATCACTTAAATGCTTTAATAGGGTTGAATATTAGTTCTTTACCAACAATTATGAATACGATGTCGCTAATATATTCTCAACTCCGGTTAAGGCAGCGAGAGCGTGGTTTTCGTTACGTGTAAGTCCCGTTACGGCTTACATTCATCTACCGAAAACCCCGTTGAATATCAAGACATCACACCCGTATCATATAATACCGGATATATTTCTATTCTCGGTAATATATATGTTTATCCTTTAATGTTCATAGTTTAGACCTCAACGTTAATTGCAAGCATAAACTAAGTTTAACATACTTCTATGTTGTACACCATAGTCATAAACAATCAAAATGTAAAGGATAAATCACAATTTATTGGTTTAGAACTTTTATCAAACACCTAGTGGGCATAGAAGTTCATCCCTAGCCTTAGCTAAGAACTTAGCCTCTTATGCTCATATTAATTACAAAAGTGTAACTAAGATAAAGGAAATACAATAACATACAAGAAATAATACCTAGAACCAATTGTAGAGGAGAGAAATGGCTTCTTCTCCAACACTTCAAGAAAATGTAAAAAGGAAATATAAAAACTGAATTTTTAGCTCCAAAGATGGAATGATGATGAGGTTTGATGAATTGGGGGCTTTATATAGGCTAAAGATTGACATCTTTTAGTCTATTCGAGCCCAACAATCAAGCATGGAAGATATATTTGATTAGCTCATGAGGAAGGTGAGTTTTTTCCATCAATATATCTCAGCACGATCTTTTGTATTTGCAGGATCAGGCCTACCCGGCGCTGGCCTTCAGGCCTACCCGGCGCCGGGTAAGCTACTGGATTGGTTGGTGCGAAAATCCGACGGGCCGGCGCCGGGTATAGGGTGGGCCGGCGCCGGGTATCTCCTCTTGTTGTACTTTCTCCACTTTTCGCTCCATTTGACGCCCGTTGTTGACCCCGATGTGCCGGTTCTTGGTCCCTTTTTCCCCATTGACTCTCGTTTCTTCATTTTTGACGTCCAAGTGCGATTTCGCTCAAATTGGGATTTTTATCTGTTTTATCTTTGAAAATTTGGACAGATAATCATAATTACCTATATAAAATATAGATAATTGTTGTGCTTATCAATCTCCCTTCTCTTTCTCTTCCTGCAGGGGACATCATCCATCATATTTCCTCCTCCAAAAATTTCCTACCGATCTAAAAGTACTCCATCTCTGGCGAATTACAAAGTTTTAACAGCGATTTTTCCTTCTCAACTCCGACCGTCGTACTGGTGGGCGGCGGCGATTGTGTAGGTAAGCATTAATTTTTTCTTCTCCTTTCATTCTTCTTCTTTTTCTTCTTAATCTTCTTCTTCTCCTCCTTCCTTTTCTTTTCTTTCCCTTCCTCTTCACCTTTTTTCCATTGCTCTGTTAGAGAGACTTTCATTTTGAAAATTTGGAGTTTTTTTACAGTTGAAAATATGAACTTGGGGACTAGAAACTTTTGAATTAAGATGATGTTTGCTTGATTTCTATTTTCTTTTTGAAAAATTAAGTTTGTCCGTATATCAATTATATTTTTTGAGTTCATTTTACAACCCATTTGAGTTCTTTTTGAAAAATTGATTTTTGCTTCAACTTTCTTTACCCTTTCCAGTTTTGTATGTATTAAAAAACTCTTTATTTCTTCTTATTTTTCTCTTTCAATTTTTGACATTCATTTCAATCAATTTTTTGTAACTCTTCAAATAACTTATATTATTTGAACCCCAAATTATCATAATCACTATTTTAAGGTAATTGTATGGCATTAATGAAGTATTTCCCCTTTGCAAATACAATACAATGTGAAAGTATTATCTCGACACTTATTTCCATGTTTATGGCACTAACGGTACAAATATGGCAATATACTATTTCTTTGGAAATACAATAATGCCATGTTTTTCAATTTGAAAAATGTCATTTTATTAAAAAAAAAAATTATTTGTTCTTATTTTTCTCTTTCATTTTTTGACATTCATTTCAATCAAGTTTTTGTAACTCTTCAAATAACTTATATTATTTGAACCCCAAATTATCATAATCACCATTTTAAGGTAATTGTATGGCATTAATGAAAATATTCCGCCTTAGCAAATACAATACTATGTGAAAGTATTATCTAGACACTTATTGCCATCTTTATGTCACTAACGGTACAAAGATGGCAATATACTATTTCTTTGGAAATACAGTAATGCCATGTTTTTCAAATTGAAAAATGTCATTTTTAAAAATCAAGATTGCAATAATGTTATTAAGATGCCACTTCAACTTCAAGATACCACTTCCATGATAACATGTCAAATCAGATATCAGATCTCAGATTTGTCGTAATAGGTGGTGGATGAGGCCACCGGCGATGTCTGTGGTGGCGGCGGCGACACAGTAGAGGCGGTGGCAAGCTTAGAGATGCTGTCTATGGTGGTGGCAGATTCATCAGCTGGTGGTGGAAGAGTCATACCGACAGCGATGGTATGGGTGGCAACAACAGGTGTTAATTAGAGCCACGGAGGCGGCGGCGGATGATGTGAGCAGCAGAGACGGCAGCGGCGGCAGATCTCTGACGGCGGAGGCGGCAGATCTCTGGCGGCGGCGGATCTCCGACGGTGGTGGCGAAGAAGGTGGTCATCAGCCCTAGGGTTATGTTGTTTACGGGCTAGGTTGCTGTACTGTTAGTTTTTATGTTTTGATTTAAATTATTAATAAAGAATTGAGCTTGAGATTTCATTAAGGGTATTTATGTCAGGCCATCCCTTTTTTACTCCTACTAAACTCTACGGGAAGCTGAAGTCCTATTTTTGCATAATTTGTATGTTTTACTCCTATGTGGGTAATTAACTCAAAAATAAATTGTCTACATGTGCGGATACAAGTAATTATAACCCGGCCCCAATCTTCCCCGTAAGCCATTACTGGAGCATAACTTGCTAGTTATAAATCACTTTACAAAACAACGAGAACATAATTTATCATCCTTCAATTCTTTAATCATTCCTAAATAATGTTGATTTCATTATATTTAAAAAAATATGCGTCTATTTTTATATCACCCCACTTCATCTTTTTAAATATGAATTGCAAGTTTTTACCTTTCAACCATTTGTTAATAATTATGTCAAATTAAAATATTTCAATCATATTTTAATAATTATGTCAAATCTGTTATAACAACTCCATTATTGATCTTACTCAATAAATACTTTTTATTTGTTATATCATTGTCACATATAAAATCATAAATGACATCAAATATTCTTTATTTCATCTCAATCATGATCTTAAATTATTGTAATTTTGTATAAATGTGATGAAACATGTTTCCAACAATCAAAGAACAATGGAATAGAGAAGAAATAGATAGATTTACGATTTATAATGATTGAAATTTCAATATGGTTCGGTGTGAAACGGCAGCTGCTCTCCATTTAGAGAGAGAGAAAGCAACGTAGAATGTAATTTTATTGCTAGGATGCCTCGCTTTTCGCTTAGGGTTTACGTAAGTTAGCCTTCCTTTTATAGGTAAGGATACTTATAACTTACGTACTGCACAATAGTAAATGAGCTTATTAGTGAAACATATGGATCCTAACATAAGGTGGCCCGTTGTCTATTAATTAAACTAAATACTACACAAATAAAAATAAATATAACAAGATTGGACACCATAAAATGCTCTAACAATCTCTCTCTTGGTGTTCACTCGTGTTCAATCAACATTGCAGAGGACAGCGCAGATCAGATTGAATTAGTTGAGTTGCTCCTCATTTATCTTGATCTTTTGTGTAACTCAACTTCCTTTGTCTTCTTGGTAAAACTTTCTGAAGAAATCCTTGCAATCACTTCTTTGATGTCTTCTTGTCAATTTGATGCAGGTGTTGAGGGATATTCAATATTTTGCACGTAGATCTTGCCTTTCAGAAGTAGCTCTTGATCAGCTTGAATAAAGTCTGATGGCGCCTATAGTATGAACCTATGAGGAATTATCTAGAGTAATTGAGTGTCTGGGAGTAATTATCTCTCGATTGATAGCACAATTGAGGTAGTAGACTTGTTATTGATTATTGTTTTCTTGCTCATTTGAGCCTTCTGCTTCCTCGCTCTCATAGTGTTCCTCGCTCTCATAGTATGAACCTATGAGGAATTATCTAGAGTAATTGAGTGTCTGGGAGTAATTATCTCTCGATTGATAGCACAATTGAGGTAGTAGACTTGTTATTGATGATTGTTTTCTTGCTCATTTGAGCCTTCTGCTTCCTCGCTCTCATAGTGTTCACTCGGTTACTCACTCACTTTTGGCTTTGTCCCTTAGGTCTACTTAGTTGGCCTTACATTACTACGCCATTGAGACTTATCCCTGATTTTTCTTTATTTTTTCTCCCTCTATGCTCCCTCTCAAATGGAGCACTCAGTATGTTTTGTCATTGTTCGGCACCGGGGGAGAAAATTGAAAACCACCCATTAATATTTGCATCCTTGAGCGAATCCTTGCTTTACACATTGTGTGCCGCTAGAAGCTAAGGAGAAAA